TCAGAACAATATAGCTTCATTATTCATACTCACAGCCCCTGGGAACTTTCTCACGGTGCTACAAGCAGTAAACTCTAACAATAGTTTCTAACTTCACTTCGGTGTCTACAGAAGCGTAGTTAGTGTAGCAGCTAGCGTAGTCTCAATAAAACTATATCTATGGCAGTGTAGTTAGGCCGCGCCATAGCTCAAGCGGTTAGTCGCTGGCTTCTCACTGCGGCGGCCCGTGTTCGATCCTGGGTCTCGTCAAGTGGGATTTGTGGTGGACAAAGTGGCGCTGGGGCAGGTTTTCTCCGAGTACTTCGGTTTCCCCTGCCAATATTCATTCTACCAATTGCTCCACAATCACCCTCACCTATCACCTGGGGCTGGTACAATAGGCCAGAAGTGGCCGCAGTTCAAGGGACTTAGTCCCACCTCACTAGCAATAAAATAATGGCAGTGTAGTTTGAAAAATGAACTTCATTATCGCGCAGTCTCGGTACTGGACTCCTTAACAAAACAGTTGAATCCAAAAGTTATGCCTCCCGCTATACGTGTATTACGTCACATGTAAAATTGTCCCTGTGCTTAACTAATTAAGCATTACGTCATGAAGGCGTATGGGGGAGTGGATGTATAAATTCACGTTTTCTTTTTCTTAACATTAGTTGAGAGTGGTCAGTTTCAAGCCCCGACCGCTTTATTCATAGGGAAAGAGCTCCCGGTACCCACTGGATAGGAGACTAGGTGGGCCCCTGAGCCGGTCTGGACGTCGTGGAGAAGAGAAAATATTTGATCCTACCGGGACTCGAAATCCGATCCATCGGTCGTCCAGTCGCTATACTGACTACGCTATCTGGGCTCCTCGATATTATGCCAGATTTTCTGTTAAAGCCAACCGACGTTTCGGAGCAATATATTGCATCAATTTCAGGGTCGAAAATTAAGCCAAGCTTGTTGCCTGTTTCATGCTAGTTTCTTGTCTGGTTTACTCTTCGACCCTAAAGATGGAGGTTTTATGTTCTTCCGCACACGGTAGCGTAGTTTGTTGAGGCACTATGCTACAAGCCGGAAGGTCGCGGGGTCGAGTCCCGATGAGATTTTTTTTTCAATTGACCTAATACTTCCGGCCGCACTATGGCCCTGGGGTCGACTCAGCCTCTAACAAAAATGAGTACCAGGAATCGCGTAAGGCTCACAAACTCACAGCCATCTGTGAGCCAATTGTCTAGAAAATGTGGGAACCTCAACGTCTCACAGCCCTATGGGCCTCCACGGCCTGCTACAGGGATAGCTTTACCTCGATATAAATAAACAAATGTAATTAAACTCTCCTCTGAGAGTGAAGTGAATTCTAGATATTATTTCTTTGATATTATAGAGAAAATATTTTAAAATTTAAGAAATTAATCACAATTCCGGCGAAAAATCAGGTGAAGATAATATGCTTGTGGGCAATGATTTCTCTTGCCTCTCCGCCCCCTCACACTGAATGCGCTATTAATTCAATATTCAAAGCAGCGGGAGGATAATCGATCACGTGACAATGTTGGTTACTAATGTTTGCGCGCCACTAAGTCGCTAAGTCCGGTTCTGCAACACTGGCTCCATTAGCAAATACAGTTAATACGGCAGAATGAGTGTACTGTGTCATTACTGAATAATTAACGTCTGTCTAGCGAATCCTGCCATCAAATTGACTTTGTTGCTAAGAGACAAAGCTTCGCACTTCTTTATGTTCGGTCATACGTCTGAGCAAAAAGTTATGTGTGCACACTGGATTTCTCTAATACCAGCGCATGTTCCATAATTCATTGCGTTTAGCTGTACACTGGGCAAACAGTGAAGGATCTACTGGCCTGTACAAACACAGTGGTTCCGCTATAGTCCGCTGTAGCTCTGTGACAAAGTTCTGTTTCTCATTATAAAATTATTATTTTGGATGCTTTTAGCCGACCACAGTGGCCGCGCGGTCTAAGGTATGGACTCTCTTCGCCCGCTTGAACACTGGGATCTTAGGTTCGAATCTCACTTGAGGCATGGATGTTTGTGTACGTTTATTGTGTATTTATGATGTTCTGTGTACAGGAATCGTTCTTTCGGCAGGCTGATCCCGCATCCAAAGAGTCCTACTGACTGTGTAAGAGAACAAGAAACGGAAAAAGTTGCAAAGGTTAAAAAAAAAGGCTGTAGATAGATAGACATCTATCCTTCTAAGTAAAAGGTGATATTGTCTCTGTGATTAACCAATTAAGCACTAAGCCATGAAGACGTATGGGAGAATGAATGTAGAGATCCCGTATTCTTGTCCTCGGCACTAGTTGGATGTGAGTGGTCAGCTTCTCTTCCCGGCTGACTTACCCCATTAAATAAGAGGCTGTATGGGCCCCAGAATCGGTCTGGATGACGTGGAGAAGAGAAAATCTTGCCCCTACGCGTACTCGAACTCCGACCCTTCAATCGTTCAACCCGTAGTCAGTCGCTATATTTAAATAATATGACGCTTTGGGAGCTCAATCTGCTTCAGTCATCAGGTGCGAGACAGAAACGAATATTAGTCACTGCACTCTCTCACTAATTCTCCTGGTTATAACATATCCTCACGGACAGCACAGAAAACACTATCGTTTTTGTAGCTCAGTCGTTGCCGTTGGAGCATTTTTGTTTGCGAAGCAGTTACTCAGCAACGACTGCCATATATTTGCTTATTCCGCTGTCGTTGCCTAACAGCGGGCGCTCTTCATAGAGCAATTTCTTAGCAGCGTGTCAAAATGCTGCAATATGATGACTGTTGAGTTAAAAATTGCTTAGGAATCGGCATTTACGTGGAAGGATTGATGATAACGATGAAAATCCTAAGTGATGATAGCCGGTGTCCCGAAGGAGATTCGAACCGCGCACCTCCCACCTAGAAGTCTAGATCGTTAACGATAGATGAACCTGAACCTTTAAATTAGGTGTTAGCGACTTTGAACCTTAAGGTTCCGAGCATTAATTATCTTTAAAGCTGTCCCGAGTAACCCATGTTGCGTGTAAGAGTTTGCGAACCACTGACGTGGTTTAATATCTTAAGTTCATATCAGTTTTATAGGATTTAAAGATCTGATTATAGTTTCTACGTTCCTTATTTGGCCTCAAGCAAATTGTCTCCATGTCGGAGCAGAAGGTAATGATGGGGAACTTCAGAATCCCCCCCCCGCCCCCCGTGACTTCTGGAGCCTCGATTTACGCCAAGATCCCACTGCAGAAATTTTCATTAAAATTCTTCCATCTGTTTAAATTACGAGGGAAAGTCAGTTGGGTCTCTCTCCAACTGTCAAGTCTCTTCCTTGTTTAGTAAGGGAGTGTCTAGGATATTAACGCTTTGAAGAAAAAATATAAAAATTTCAAGAGTTCAAGCTCCTGGGATATGATGTTGAGTGGTCCATTGAAAGTCGACGGATGTTAGGTGAAATATCTCTAGGATTAACAAGCAAGTCAAGCAAGAAATCAGCATGAAGAAAGAAGCACGCAATTTTTGCATCTTCGACCCTGAAGATGAAGACTATACTCCGAAAAGATTTTTGGCTTTGTACGGAAAATACATTCTGATCTACTGCCCTAAGTGTCCAAGTTTCAGCCCCTACTCCAGATCGCATCAAGTGGAGGAACTGTTTTGGAAGAGACTGTGGACCTGTCGTCTTGACAGATTACTGATGAATGAACGGAAGATAAGCCCTTCGTAACCACGGCTGCGAGAGCCTGAGATTCTATTTAAAAAGTTTTGTTCCTACCTGACGGAAAACCCAAAGTGTCCGGATTACAAAACCCTACTGGGTAATTCTGTTTCGTCTAGACACACGACACAACAGGAAGGGACATTCAGCACCATAAAATACACGCGCGCGTGGATGGGCCTACACACCGAATTAGAACCACAAAATGAAAGCACAGCAGTCTCCATCAACAACTTTTATACACCTGATGATGGCCAATGTAGGTCGAAACATGTACTGCAATGTAAGAAACTTTAAAATTGGCCGCACCATACCTCAAGCGGTTAGTCGCTGGCTTCCCACAGCGGAAGGCCCGGGTTCGATCCCGGGTCTGGTCAAGTACGATTTGTGATGGACAAAGTGGCTCTGGGGCAGGTTTTATCCGAGTACATCGGCTTCCCCTGACAATCTTCATTCCACCAATTGCTCCACAATCACCCTCACCTATCATCTGAGGCTGGTACAATAGGCCAGAAGTGGCCGCAATACAAGGGACTTAGTCTCACCCCACTGGCATTAAAAAAACCCTTTAAAATAAGTCTTAGAAGGACGCGTTACACGTAAGACTGTGAACCAGTGACATTGCTGAATAATCTGTGTGGGGAAATAGTCATTACTTCTGAGAAATCCACAAATAATCTCTATGTGTAAAATGCATACATTTAAGATTTTTGTAAAGCTAGTTGTGTGTCGAAAAACCACTTTGATTTTTATGGTCATATTTCAATATTTCTTTATTCAATTACCCAGTTATTTGTTCAGCCAATTAATAAAATAACGTCACGTGAATGAGTGACTATATCCGGTATTTGGATTGGTAATTGAATTTATTGGACACTCTAATACACAGCTCATGACTACATTTTACAAATTACTGTCACACACAGACTAGTGTTCTACGTCATGTTCTTCACTGCACTGCTTAGTAACATCTTCCAACAGTGTACGTTCCTCTGTTTCCGGGCTCATGGCCTCGCAGGCTGCCGGCCATCTCACACCAATATCTTACTTCTCCTACTGCCGTCTCAGCACTCTTCGGAGTGGCAGCTGGTCCTCGTTATATAGCCTTGGCACAGACCGCACACAAAACATACCTTTCATTATTGCGTGGGTGTTTGATGTAGCTATCACGTGACGGACACTGAGCCATTGCCTAGCAATGGTCTTGTTTTCAGAGCCGTTCCATAGCAACGGCTGTCTGCTAGCTTCGCAAATCCGGCTTTCAGCATATATGTATTAATAATAATAATATTTTTGTTGCAGGTGAGCCATTGCGTTGGAACATTTTTCTGCTTGCTAACATACCATCGGCTTTACTCCGAAGAGAAACGTAAGTTCATGTCTATATACGTATAATATTTGTGTTTTATATTTACTTGCTTGTGTTGTAAGAACTGCTTAGTTGTGAGATGGATTCTTTGTTGTCTCCGCATATAACAGACATCCGCCGTGGAACGAGCATAATTCAAGTATTTTTATATTCTGAAAACATGGAAGTTGCACGAGTTAGGTCTCCAACATTTGATAGTTAAACTCTGAGAATTCTATCTAGGCTATTTGAAGTACCGAGCGAACATGGATGTGCGCATGCGCCAAAACTGAGCGATATCCGAAACATCGTGGAGAGCAGTCAGCAATTGCTCTGAGAATGGCATCCGAACAGAAGGCTGTATATGCTCGGTGGATGGCAGAAACGAAACCAGTCAGAAGCTTCCTAAGCTAGTTCAAATCATTTATGGTGACTGGATGCTGTTCTTAGAAAAATTACCTACAGGTCCTCGCATATTTCATTATTTTATATAAGACGTGGAGGTAAAGCTCCACATGTTGCATACTTCGGTGTTAGATGGCACTAGAAGTGATAAGCTTCACGTTCCGACCTCTTTATTCCCAAAGGAAGAGCGCGCGGTACTTCTTGGCTAGCGTGCTGAGTGATGCTAGCAGTTTGGACGTGCTGACGAAGAGAAATGTCTGTCTCTCTGCCTGGAATCGATCCCTGAGTCGTAAGGTAGTCACTTGACTGAATGAAGCGGCCAGCGCGAGCGAGGTGAGCTGCTCTGAATAAGTGATGGACGCTTGAAGCTGACCCCTTCACACGCCAGGGGGTCAGGGGGTCAGCGGGAGGCCCTCTCGCTTTCTTCATATTTTTTTCTCAATTCCCCTTCCTCCTCTTCCTCCTTCGTTTCATTTGCCTACTTTTCTTCCTACTGTTTCTCCTTCTTCCTTTCCTTTGCCTCCATATCTGTCTATTCCTTTATCTTCTCTTTTTCAGTATCATCCTCTTCCTTATGTTTTCTTTTCTCTTCCTCATTCTCTTCCTACTTCTTTATCTGTTCTCACCCGCATCCTGTTCTTCCTGTCTGTTTTCCTTTGACTTTTTTATTTCATCTTATTCAGCATGATACCTTTCTCTTTCGTCCCACTCTTCTCCGTCATTCCTCTACTTGGTCTCCTTATTTCCTTCATTCCGCATTATTCAACTTCCCTTCTCTTTTTTCCTTTCTCCTCTCTTCTCTTCTATTCTCTCCTTTCTCTTCTCTTCTCTCATCTGTTGTCTTCTCTTCTCTCCTTTCTCTTCTCTTCTCTCATCTGTTCTCTTCTCTCCTCTCTTCTCTTCTCTCCTTTCTCTTCTCTTCTATTTTTTCTTTTCTCCTCTCTTCTCTTATCTCTTCTCTCCTTTCTCCTCTCTTTTCTCCTTTCTCTTCTCTTCTCTTTTTTCCTTTCTACTCTCTTCTCTTCTCTTCTCCTTTCTCCACTCTTCCTTTCTCCTCACCTCTCTTCTCTTCTCTTTTCTCCTTTCTCTCCTCTTCTCTTGTCTTCTCTCCTAGATAATGTTACGACACGTACAACTGTGCGTCCAGTGTTCGGAAGGGCCAGCACAGCGGTGATGCAGTGTGACCTATTTGGACTTTCACCGTTCTGGTTTATGAGCAACGCATCGGATTCTGGTCTCGGTGCCTCGTGTGGTCCTGTGCTCAGAATTCGTGCGAAAAATCCAAGATAATCTGACGCGACAGCGGGAGCTCACTGGCCCGGGTAACACTTGAACCTCCCACACAACATGGGACTTAACACGTGTTGCTATTTCCCGGAAATCGCTAAATCCTGTCGGCGCCTACGACAAGTACGACAGTCCTAAACCGGGGATGTCTAAACCTCTTATTGTAATTCATCAATGTCATAGATGAGACAGTGTGACATGCCTGATTTAGAATGAATCTGTGACAGAAATCACAAGGTTTCTTCTCGTTTAGCATTCGCTCAGTTAATCACCGTTTAATTAAAGAAGGCAAATCTATCCCTGTAACAGGCCGTGGAGGTCCATAGGGTTGTGAGACGTCGAGGCTCCCACATTTTGTCTAGACAATCGGCTCAGAGATGGCGGTAAGGTTGTTAGCCTTACGCGTCAGTCGCCCTTACCCCCATGAGGATTCCTGATACTCATTTCTGTTAGAGGCTGCGGCGAACCCAGGATCATAGTTCGGCTGGATTAAGCAAATCGAAAAAATCCCATAACCTCACCGGGACTCGAACCCGCGACCTTCTGGCTTTTAGCATAGTGCCTCAACTAATTACGCTACAGCATTACCCTTACCCATTTTATTAATCTGTATTAATTTATTATCGCGTTACCAACGATCCGACTTCTGTGACCATTTCCGGGTTACCAACGGTCCGACTTCTGTGACCATTACCGTGTTACCAACGGTCATACTTCTGAGACCATTACTGGGTTACCAACGGTCCGACTTCTGTGACCATTACCGTGTTACCAACGGTCCGACTTCTGTGACCATTACCGTGTTACTAACGGCCCGACTTCTGTGACCATTACCGTGTTACCAACGGTCCGACTTCTGTGACCATTACCGTGTTACCAACGGTCCGACTTCTGTGACCATTACCGTGTTACCAACGGTCCGACTTCTGTGACCATTACCGTGTTACCAACGGTCCGACTTCTGTGACCATTACCGTGTTACCAACGGTCCGACTTCTGTGACCATTACCGTGTTACCAACGGTCCGACTTCTGTGACCATTACCGTGTTACCAACGGTCCGACTTCTGTGACCATTACCGTGTTACTCACATTCATCTGTTCTACTATCCCTGAAGCTGTCCGCGCCCAGCGGACCCCGAAACGCAGGGCAGTTTTCCGCTTCGGCTTTGAGATTCCGTAATGAGAGAAGGAAGATTTGGGGGGGGGCTGAGAGGGCAGAGCTCCGGAACTGGCTAATGCAAAGAAAATGAAAATAGGAGGATGGGGCTAGAAGAGTCTTACGGTCTCAGCAGAAATTCTCCCTCATTTCCAACTCCTGAGCGTAGGAGCGTCATTTAGCTTAAATTGGTCCGATGCTGTTTTATTCTATTTCTCATTTATATGTACGTTCAAAAAGCTAAAGTGTCATTAAATGAATCCAGAAACATAACGCGATGGGACTGGTTCAGGAGGTGGTAAAACGGAGGCTTCAGACGACTTGCGTTGTCTAAGCGGTAGCGTAGTTGGTTGAGGCACTATGCTACAAACTGGAAGGTTGCGGGTTCAGTTCCCGATGAATTCATTGGATTTTTCAACTGACCTAATCCTTCCAGCCGCACTATGGCCCTGGGTCGACTCAGTCTCTAACAGAAATGAGCACCAGGAATCTTCCTGGGGGTAAAGGGCGGCCGGCGTGTAAGGCTGACAACCTCACCACCATCTGTGAGCCGATTGTTTAGATAGAATGTGGGAGCCTCGACCTTTCACAAACCTATCGGTCTCCATGGCCTGTTACAGGGATAGCCATAGGGTTTAGAACGAAAGACAGAAGAAGATATTTGAGTTTACTGGGAGGAAATTGCGTATGAGTGATCAGTATGAAAATATGTGGTCTCCTTTGTTGTCTGTCCTATAATTTGGTTTTGGGAACGAATTAGATACAATGGGGGACATCTTTATATTCCATCTGCATTGGAAACGACGAGGCCTGATCATATGTTAGTGACGTAGGCTGTGACGTGATCATTACAGACTTTATTAGAAGGCAAAGTTATCCCTGCAAGAGGCCGTGGAGGCCCAAAGAGTTCTGAGACGTCGAGGCTTCCACATTTTTCTAGACAATCTGCTCACAGATGGCGGTAAGGTTGCCAGCCTTACGCGCCGGCCACCCTTTACCTCCAGGAAGATTCCTGCTACTCATTTCTGTTAGAGGCTGAGTCGAACCCAGGGCCACAGTGCGGCTGAAAGATTAGATCAATTGAAAAAAATCTCTTGACCACATTGGGAATCGAACCCGCGACCTTCCGGCGTGTAGCATAAATATGTATTCTTGTACCGGTGAGAAATTCAAACGTACTTTTACAAGGCCTTTGTTTGTGCAAATTATGACGTGCTGTCTCATAGAGTGAATGGACTTCAGCATGGCAGGGCATGGGGGGAGGGAATCGAACTCTGGTCCTCTCGAATACAAAGCAGAAGTGTTAATTACCTGATAGCGATGTTTGGTTGTGCGATATATACATATTTCTTATGAGTATATGTAGCTACTACCGAACTGGCTGGTGCATACATGACGCCCTAGAATTGTAATCGGGTGGTGCTTGGATCGAATCTCGGTCTGGACACAACTGCTCTGACTGTGGTTTTCCTGAATCCATGCAGGCAAATGCTGATATATTATATCTGTTAGGTCACGGCTACTCCCTTCCAAATTCCTTTTCAATTTATCATTCAGTTATCATATCATCTGACGGTAGGTAGTTTTGGTACTGAGAAAGCGTTGTTAAATAAGCACTGGAAGGAAAGTATAGCGCCTACGTTACGGACAGGAAAATTGAGGAAACGGGTCATTTCCTATCAGGGTCAGGAGTTTCCTTTCCTGTGTCCACAGCATGCAGAAAACTGGGGCCCCCACAGTTACGTGTCAGATGGACGCTGAGGGCTCGTTCTTATGGGCGTGACGGTCACCGAACATCTCTACCGCGGAGGTTAAGAAATCACGGAGCTATGTTTCTGTTCCTCTACACTTTTTCATGGCGTGGTGCTTATTTAAGTAAGGAGAGGGGGTGATAAATTTGTCTTCTTATGATGTATAACCTCGGCTTCCGGGAATAGGCCGCGTGCAAAGTTAAATGTCTTCAAACGTTCTGGCAAATGTTTCATCTGCTATCTTCAGGATTAATGACTATAAGGGGTTAACAGCTTCCATATAAATCCCGCAGAGGGCTGTCAACACCCTTTCCGGCCCCACAAAGTCATTAGCCATAAAGGTTTCAATTGCAGTGTTTGTCAGAACGTTGGAAATCCTCCAATATTATTCACAGAGTATTTCCGAAATCTTTCCTCACACAGTATGTTCCAGAAGCTATGACCTCGCAAGTAATTATCTATTTATATTTATTTATTTATCTGCGTCTTTGAAAGAAAGGAACAAGGAACTAGACAAAGAAAGTAAATATATTTTTCCTTGATGTATATTTATTATTAGGACTGTTACACTTTAAATGCGCTAGTCCTGTAACTACCCGTGGAGATGCATATGGTTGTGAGATATCGAGGCTAAAATATTTTGTAGATAAGCAGCTGACAGATGGCGGTGATGTCAGCCTTAAGCGCCGGCCGTCCTTTACCCCCAGGAAGATCTATCATTATAATTCATCCTTCGTCTCCTGTAAGACATTTTAACATAAGCCTATTCTGTTTTATTGTAATAAATACGGTAAGACAAGATAATTTTCTTATAGAGCGGTGTTCCAGAATATTTTAAGACCCACCACACCCCCAAAATTTGTTAGATATATATGAAAAGAAAGAAAAAATAAAACTCCGTGGCTTTCGTCCGCAAGCGAACTATGAAAACACACCACGAAATTTTACCTCACTAAAAGTTGGCATGAAAATATGCTTGGCTATAAATATGTACCTACATGTCAGTCCTTGGGTTATGTTATATTGAGAACTACATGTGGGTTAGTAAGGATAAACGGGATTATTACAAAAATGTTAAAGGAGATAATCGGAACAAATGATAAACATTTAAGGTTTTGAAAGTTTCTGACGATGGTATATAACACTCAGAATTAGTGAGATTTTTTCTTTTGTTTTTTTTTTTGAATTTATTTATGATCGGTAGTTTCTAGAATACCGGACGATGGACAAAGTCCAAAACCAGTAATTTAAGATTTCATTATTTAGTTTAATTTATTGCCTTTCCCAAATATGACATTCGAACGTACAATTCTTGTTACATAAATTCGTGCACACCTGATATCTTGTGGCGGAACACCTCATATCTCATGACTGCACACCAGTGTGCCGTAGTCCACCGGTTGCGGAACAAGAGAACGTCTGTTTTTAATGGAATGCTACAAGAGAAAACCAAACACGAGTGCCCAGACCTGTGTAAGGCTTCATGTACGTACATAGTATGAAAAATGTTCTAACCTACAAACGAGTGGTGCACGTATTTATTTTTCATACACTGTATTTTCAAGTGACTTGGTAATATGTTATTCCCTAATTTCTCTTGCTCGGCAAAAATTATCAGGCTTTGCTTATCCCTGAAGCAAGACCGCGCCATAGCTCAAGCGGTTAGTCTCTGGCTTCCTACCACGGCGGCCCTGGTTCGATCCCGGGTCTGGTCAAGTGGGATTTGTGGTGGCCACAGTGGCGCTGGGGTAGGTTTTCTCCGAGTACTTCGGTTTCCCCTGCCAATCTTCATTCCACCAATTGCTCCACAATCACCCTCACCTATCATCTGGGGCTGGTACAATAGGCCAGAAGTGGCCGCAGTACAAGGGACTTAGTCCCACCCCACTAGCGATAAAAAAAATCCCTGAAGCAGAATGTGGTAATATTCTTAGATATTTTACCGAGCGGGTTGCCATAGAAGTATCGATCTTAGCTCTTATTAAGGGGGTGTTCAGTTCGAATCTCTGGGGAAAACCGCTTATATTTTATGGGTTTCTGAGGCCCCCCCCAGGTAAATACCAGTAATATTCAATATCTTAGTAGATTAATATTAAATTTCTTAGCTAATTATAATTTCTTAACCTATTATTAAGGGAGTTTTGACAGCGCAGTCAGTATAGTAACTGGCTGCGGACTTAGACAGCAGATGGGTCGGAGTTCATGTCCCAGTAGGAGTGAGATTTTTCTTAACTCCCCGTTTTTCAGACGTGTTCTCGGGCCTATCCAGCCAAATATCCAATGGATACCGGGTGGATCTTTCCCCAGGAGTAAGGTGGCAGGCGCGTGAAGCTGACAACTAACCTCCAAATTGTGCCGAGGTGAAGATGAAGTGGATATATGCATCCACTCCCCCATACGTCTTCATGGTGTAGTGCTTAATTTGTAAATCATAGGGACAAATTTACCTTTTAACTTAAGGTTAATTTAATTGGTGGTTACAATTTTATGAGTCTAACATAATTCATTCTTTAGCTGGTTATAGTTTTATTGATGTATTTGTTATTTGCTGGCTATCATTTTAATTTGTTATTCACTTCTTAGCATATTAATATTTTATTGATCTATGATTAATTACTCATGAGGTGGCGCGCCCTCAGTTTGCTAATTGGCCCGACGGTCTCCAGATATACAAGGTGTCTGCAAAATTATTAAGCTCGCCATTTCATATCCTCTGCATAAAGTTATAATTGTAGGTCTTTTATTTGATAATGCTTCTTGCACAAACTGTTTACATAGAGCGTTGAATGAGTGCATGATAATGAATTGCAAAGTATGCGAAAGGAAACAGTCTCCGCCTAATTTTAGTCATTTAATTTGTTGGTACCGGGATCGTGGGTTTGAAACCCACTCAGGGCATGGATGTTTAGTTTGTGTGTGTGCGCGCGTTTTTCTGTGTTTGTGTACAGGTAGAGGCCTTGCGACGAGCTGATCACCCGCCCAAGGAGTCCTACCGAATGTGTAAGATCAAGAAAAACCGAAGTGAACGGAGAAGTTCATGGAGGTAGGCCTAGGCCCACTGGGGCTGTAGTACCAAGGAAAAAACATTGTTGGTAGATTACTGAGAAAAACTACGAAAATCCTCAGTCAGGATAGACGGTATTTCGACCGGGATTCGAATCGAACACCTCCAGAATACAGATCGGAATCTTTACAGTTTGAGCTATCATGATCGGATATTTTATATAGAGGACATAGGATAAAGTACTCAATAATTACCAATCTCATTATCCGTCAATAGTGTCCATTTTCAATTAAAAATCTAACGTTGCTCTTATTTGCCTATTTGTTAGCGCGTAGAGTTTTCCTATATACAATAAGTTCAACTTTCAGCAGCAAGATGGCAGTCAAAGTTCCTGTTGCTAGGAGGGCGAATATAGGTGTCACTAGTGTGGGAGATACGCTTCTGAAGACAACTTGTTTTTCTTCCATCATCTTTCTGACGTTTCTTTTGTTAATTATGTTAAGAATTCCACTCCGATGCATATCGTGGACTCTGAAAAAAATTGTTGGAAAGTATGGGAATTACATAAAAACACATATGACCTTTAAAAAACTAAGAACTATTCAGCACTATATATTTTTTAAATTTTTTAATTCGCAATGTGGGGGGGGAGTCCAGCTGGGTCCACTCGGCACGGCGGACACTGATTAGTCTATTGTAGCCTGGCCCGGGTGATTATGATGATGGAGGATTTGATGGAATAAAGATTGATAGGGGAAACCGAAGTACTCGGAGAAAACCTGTCCCAGCTCCACTTTGTCCACCACAAATCCCATTTGACCAGACCCGGGCCGCCGCGGTGGGAAGCACTGTATATTTAGAAGAAAACTACATGAAGACAAATGGAACTTAAAAGCCTTAATTTTTTTTACGCCTGCTTGCCTGTATATTCAATCTCTTGACAACGCAAACTCACTGAATGCCATGGAGTACTGATTCAGTATAATGCAATTTACGATAATATAATAAATCCATTATCCATTTATCCATTTAAATCACAACGGTTCCTATGTATACCACATATTTTAACATTAAAGAACGTTGAGTTCTACCCACACAGTGTATTAATATTTTGTACGATTGTCACAGAAACAGCTGTTTAACCAGGTGGGCTTCAGAATGGAGACAAAAATGTGTTTTCCGTGAAGTAGGTACAGAATAGGCCAAATGTATATTATTACTTAGCCTTGTGGATCATTATAAAATTGCTGTAACAATATGTGTAAAGGTAAAAGTATCCCTGAGCAGGCCGTGGAGGCCCATAGGGTTGTGAGACGTCGAGGTTCTCACATTTTCTCTAGACAATCGGCTCACAGATGGCGGCGAGTTTGTCAGGCATACACGCCAGTGGCCCCTTACCTCTAGGAAGATTCCTGATACTAATTTATAATTAAAGGCTGAATCGGTCCCATAGTGAGGCTGGAAGGATTAGGTCAGTTGAAAAAAGCCCAATATCATCGGAAATAGAACCCGCGACCTTCGAGTGCCTCAACCAACTACGCTACCGCGTGTCACCAACAATACTCATAGATAAGGATATAATACATATAAAATTCCATTTAATTCTGAAACTTTCTGACGATGGTATATAAAAATGAAGAGTACGGTCTCCTGAGTTCTCCTCCATTCGTGCTACACGGATTCATTTTATCCTGTCATGTGATCAGGAAGAAGGAAGCAGGTTCCGGAACATCGTGGTTTAAGAAATGTGCAGATGGACGGTGCCTACATTGTATGTTGTGTAGGCCTGTGTTATTACACAAAATATATCTCTCCCTGAAACAGCTTCACAGTCAGTGCGGTAGAGAATGTAGGATACTCTGCTAATTTTATTTGATTTTAATCAAAACCTGAATGTTATTCCAGGACTAACGCCTCAGAGAAAAAAAATATGAGCCCTTTAAAACTGGCTGATAATTTCGCTTCGTGTTTCAACAAATTGTGGGGGGCGTGTGAGGACAGAGGGGAGCTCACTTGCAGCTAGGACAGACAACCGAGTTCGAATTTGGTTTCATGTAAAATAGTTTTCAGCTTAAGGGAACCCGGTGCCTTGGGGTATAACTGGGCCACACTGGTCCTGAGGGATATAAATACAGAGACCTGGTCCTCCAGGTTGGGGAAGTCTCGAATCTGAGACAGCAAAATATGGTCATGAGTCCCGTGGGACCCTGAACCAAAAATGACTGCGTTGGCGGGGACCAACAGCAATTGTAAACAACACACCCGTCCTCTCGTCGAAGAGGACACCCCATTTCAACACAACCGCAACTGTCATACTAATAAAAATATGGTGTTCGATCCCAGATGGGGGCTTGACGCCAAGATAGACTGGCCCAATGATCGTTTTTCGTAACATAACTTTGACTTAAGTCAAAATATAGTCACGTTTCCTGCAAAATATATTGACTTGATCATTCTAATTATACTTGGCGAAGAGTATTATTTATGAAGCTCCTCATTATGCAGTTTTCCTCAAAATTATTTATAATTCATTAATCAGTAAACATTCAGACATCCAGCTCATTCTAAACTAACATAGGGAAAGTCATTTGCTAACGCAAATATACGTAATATATGTAATTAAATTCATAGAAGCTGATATGTGGTAACTTTATTCTGGTACAACCTATGTTACTTACGTGCGCCTGAAGATTCCCAAGTAAGGACTTTTCTTCTGTATGATCATAGATCCTTTGAATTCAACACAAGCGTTAGGCACTTCCTGGAGGTTGCAGACCACCTTGTTGGAATAATATGGCAAAGCATCCTTCAGCTCAATGGCAGCGTAATTCGGGCGGACGCACACCAGGTTCAGCGCTTCCAAGCCCGTGCTCGGCAGTGCTGACTTGTAGGGAGCCATATGCTTGTCGTATACCGCTCTCAGCACAGGGTCATGTGATATCTGCGACAAGGAAGAGAACACACATGTTTCGAGTCATCCTTCCACTACAGTAGACAGCTTTCTTCTTCACTATTGGCGCTACAGCCCTGTGTGGGTCTTGGCCTCCTTTATGAAATTAAAATTGATTTCGGTGTAGTGTTGTTAGCCCGACGCTCAACCCCCAAACTGTAGGACAAGGGATTACACTTTGTGTGTTTTCTACCGTTTGAATCTGGATTAGTACACAGTTAAGGGGCTGGATGGCTGCGCCATAGCTCAAGCGGTTAGTCGCTGATTTCCCACCGCGGCGGCCAGGGTTCGATCCCGGGTCTGGTCAAGTGGGATTTGTGGTGGACGAAGTGGCGCTGGGGCAGGTTTTCTCCGAGTACTTCGGTTTCCCCTGCCAATCTTCATTCCACCAATTCCTCCACAATCACCCTCACCTATCATCTGGGGCTGGTACAATAGGCCAGAAGTGGCTGCAGTACAAGGGACTTGGTCCCACGCCACTAGCAACAAAAAAAAAAAGGGACTGGATGACCGAGAAATCGGGGTTTGATTTCCGCTAAAATCCTACACAGCCTCCTATCAAATGGGTAACAAGGGTACTCACATCAGGTTAGAGACGAGGTTAGGAATAATGGAGCTGTACCCCCACTCCACCATACGTATTCATGATGTGCTTAATTAATTAAGCCAAGAGATAAATTTACTTCTTTGTAATTTTATCTATTTATCTATGGCTCTACTGCCCTTTGTTGGGCCTTGGCCGCTTTTTCAGTTTCTTAAGCCTAAACACAGTCGACATGACTCCTTGGACAGGGGATCAGCTCGTCGCAAGGCCACTACCTACACACAGAATAAACGCACAGAGACATCCATGACTTGAGTGGGATTCAAACCCACGACACCAGCGTCTGAGCGAGCGAAGACAGTTCAAGCCTTAGACGGAGGGGCAACTGTGATCAGCATATATTTCTCTTCCGTCTCAAATTGTTTCATCCCTCCTATGATAAAATATTCCCCTAAGTACCCTATTGGCAAGTATCCTCATTTTAAACATGAGACACAAATTTTCACACATGAAGGTCTAGAGGCAAAATAATAAAGAGGTAAAAATATCCCTGTAACAGGCCGTTGAAGCCCATAGGGCTGTGAGACGTCGAGGCCTCCACATTTTCTAGTTAAACTGCTCAAAAATGGCGCTGAGGTTGTCAGCCTTACGAATCGACCGCCCTTTACCCAAGGAAGATTCCTGGTACTCATTTCTGTTAGAGGCTGAGTAGAGCCCACGGCCATAGCGCGGCTGGAAGTGTTAGGTCAGTGGAAAGAGGCAAAGAAATATTTTAATCTTCAAGATTTTAGAGAGCCGAATGGAATAAATAATTATGAATAATAAACAGGGACTTACTTCAAAATGAGTATAGTGGCCGCTATGTCTTCCCACTCCTAAAGTGTAGGTGCCAACTTCCAGGAACTCCTCAAAAGTGTTGAAAGGTAACTTGTCAGTTCTTGTCATGATGTGAGACACAAGAGATGCTGAGTAACTGGCCAACATGATAATCGCTGCGAGGTACATCGTCAGATGAGTGATACGCCATGACACCTCCGCTCTAGCCAAGTTACTCCCTGTGGGAAATATAAAATGAATTTTACGTGGAAATGGAATTCGAGAACTGTTGATGTACAGGGTGATTTTAAATTATTGTCGGGGTTTTCCGTGGCCTGTAATCTTCATATCGGAAATAGCAAAATAAAACTGCTTACAGAATATAAAATTTGTTGAATTTTGAAGATAGCAGTAATGATTCTACAGATAATAAAATTTTTGAGTTACACTTTCACATTCTACAAGCAATTTTATTTTGCTTTTCCAGTTTGAAATATTATAGACCATGGTGACCCCGCCAATAATTTAGAATCGTTCTGCATTTTTGTAGATTTGTAAGATTTGAGGTCTTCACGTCGGTGACTATGAATAATGCTGTCGTCTGGGATGTGGCGCCGTGTAGATATTGTGTGAACTAAAGTTTCGGAGGAACCTATCGCCTCCATCTTCAGGAAAGAAAAATCCGCGAGCGAAGAACAAGAGTGAGCAGGTGGTTGCAACCCAGGACCATTGTGCGACTGGAAAGATTAAGTGGATGAAAAATCCAATGACCTCACAGGAAATTGAACCCGCCACCTTCCGGTTTTAAGCAAATTGCATCAACTAACTACGGTACCGCTTGCCCCCCCTCATAAATTGAATAAGCAACATTAAGGAAGAAAAATCCAGTTTTCAACGAAGTGTCCCGTATGACGCTATGAGGGTTTATCGCTCGAAGGTTACAATTTTCACGAAATAAATTATATTTATAACTAAAAATATCGTCGATACTGATAGTGACGTATCTTAGAAGATGTTTTAAGCAGAACATAGCATCTAGTAATGCTTCTGTGTTCTCATTTACAGAATGTAAAGCTCAGAAGTCCAGAATTCTTTGATAGCATCAAGTCGCATCTACTGGCTTTGTGTCATCCTGCCTAAATGTAGGTTAATTAGGATTACTGCTAAGTTACGAGCTGAAAAACTGCTGAAATCCTGATTGAATTGAGACTGCACAGTGCAACATCTGGACGGGTCGCTTAATCCTCCTTTAACTGTACAATTCGCACTAGCCATTTACTTAGCCACAGAGCTCGCATGTGCCATTTACCTTGCCAGCAGAGCTCGCATGAGTCATTTACTTAGCCAGCAGAGCTCGCACATGCCACTTACCTTGGCAGCAGAGCTCGCATGAGTCATTTACTTAGGCAGCAGAGCTCGCATGAGCCATTACCTCGCCAGTAGAGCTCGCATGAGTCATTTATTTAGCCAGCAGAGCTCCCACATGCCACTTACCTTGGCAGCAGAGCTCGCATGAGCCATTACCTCGCCAGCAGAGCTCACATGAGCCATTTACCTAGCCAGCAGATCTCCCACATGCCACTTACCTTGGCAGCAGAGCTCGCATGAGCCATTGCCTCGCCAGCAGAGCTCGCATGAGCCATTTACCTAGCCAGCAGATCTCCCACATGCCACTTACCTTGGCAGCAGAGCTCGCATGAGCCATTGCCTCGCCAGCAGAGCTCGCATGAGTCATTTACCTAGCCAGCAGAGCTCCCACATGCCACTTACCTTGGCAGCAGAGCTCGCATGAGTCATTTACTTAGGCAGCAGAGCTCGCATGAGCCATTACCTCGCCAGTAGAGCTCGCATGAGTCATTTATTTAGCCAGCAGAGCTCCCACATGCCACTTACCTTGGCAGCAGAGCTCGCATGAGCCATTACCTCGCCAGCAGAGCTCACATGAGCCATTTACCTAGCCAGCAGATCTCCCACATGCCACTTACCTTGGCAGCAGAGCTCGCATGAGCCATTGCCTCGCCAGCAGAGCTCGCATGAGTCATTTACTTAGCCAGCAGAGCTCGTATGACCCATTACCTTGGCAGCAGAGCTCGCATGAGCCATTACTTCGCCAGCAGAGCTCACATGAGCCATTTACCTAGCCAGCAGATCTCCCACATGCCACTTACCTTGGCAGCAGAGCTCGTATTACCCATTACCTTGGCAGCAGAGCTCGCATGAGCCATTACCTTGGCAGCAGAGCTCGTATGACCCATTACCTTGCCACGCATGTGCCATTTACCTAGCCGGCAGAGCTCCCATATGCCACTTACCTTGCAAGCAGAAGGGTGTGATGGCAGAGAAGAGTGACCGGGAGAATTCCAGCAGAAGACCTTCTCTGGTGCCCTGTTTCCTGTTGTGGATCCTTGTTCTGTCAAGCAGCATTGACGCGGCTGAGAGTAGGAGCAGGCAAACAGTCAGTGACATCCAGACGCCGGGACTGAAATGCAGGAGGAAGCTGTTCCATACCAGAACTGTTGAGCCAGGCTTCCTCACGTACACGACCATTCTGACAGCGAAGAGATAATAATACGTAGAAAAGTAGGTGTAAAGGGAAAGTTGTGGGAGAAATGAAAGATAATGTATTTTGGAGGAAGGAAAATATATTGTTAGAAGGATCCTAGTTTTCTTCCGATCATCTACCCGATAGGGGCAGCACAAACCTGAGGACTTATGTTCGTTAAAATTAGTGGTCTGGGACAAAAGCTGCTTGGTTTATTCATCGACCCTGAAGATGGAGGCAACGTGTTCCTCCGAAACGTCGGCCGACTTACTAAACGGCGTTATATTCCAGAAAGTAGAACTCTTCTTAAGAGCTGCGGAATATTTTATGATTGAGGAAGATAATTTGGGGGCCTGTACAAGCATGTAAAAGCCTTAAATGTGTCTTTCTCTCTGTATGTTTGTATAGAGGTCGTACATGCTTTAAAATCTCGTATTCAGACAGATAATCTGGTCTTCAGACACAGGTGTGCCAGTATTCTCTGGCGCCTACCTGTGGTTCCCGCCTTCAGTAAGCGCACAAGGTCAGGCCGCGCCATAGCTCAAGCGGGTAGTCATTGGCTTCCCACCGCGGCGGCCCGGGTTCGATCCCGGGTCTGGTCAAGTGGAATTTGTGGTGGACAAAGTGGTGCTGGGTGGGTTTTCCCCGAGTAATTCGGTTTCCACTGCTAATCTTCATTCCACCAAATTCTCAGTCATCATAATCACCAGGGGCAGGCTACAATAGGCCAATTAGTGACCGCCCTGCCGAGTGGACCCAGTTGGACTCCACCCCTCACTAAGCGAATATATAAGAAAAGCCCACAACGCCTGTTTCTGCCCGTTGCCACGTCGTGTGTCCTAAACATACGCAGGCCAGGCAGATAAAGGAGGAAATCGAATTCAAAAGATATTTGTTGTTACGACTTAATAATTTCGTTCTTCATAACTTCCCTGTATGTGGTTCGCCTTTTCGTGTGTACATCGTGACTCAGCGAGAATTCTGAAAGCCAGCTGCCCACTGGCGAGTGGGAAATTACAAGGCAATTGCCAGTCAGAATTTTGCGTTCGTGCGTGTGTGTAGTATATATGTAATGTAATGTATGTATGTACGTAAGTATCCCTGCCTACATATGTTTACGTTTCTGTCTATGTATATGCATGTGCGTGAATACGAATAAGTATATGTTCATTTATTCCTGCTTATATGTATGTATATTGTGGAATGTAAACCTGTTGCTAAGCAACGGCCGCGAAACAAGTAACTATGCAACAGCCATTGCTAAATAAGGGCTCCGTAAACAAGCATGTTTCCACGTCAACGAGAGAAAAAACAATAATGGAAGAGACTTTTTCTATGTGGTCCGTGCAGAGGTGTTATAACCAGCAGAATTTAACAGGAGTATGGCGCCAAGACGAAATGATTGGCTGTAAACCGCCAATTGTAAAGTGACTCTGACTCTGGGGCTCAGTCATTGTGAGCTGTTGCTAATAGAAACTGAAAGATGGCGGTGAGGTGTCCATGGAGGTAGGCCTAGGCCCGTTGGGGCTGTAGTGCCAAGGAAAAAAAATTCTGTCAGAGGCTGAGTCGATCCCAGGACCATAGTGCGGCTGGAAGGATTGCGTCAATCGAACAATCCAATGACCTCATCGGAAATGGAACCCACGACCTCTCGGCTTGTAGCATAGTGCCTCAACCAACCACGCTACCGCGTGCCCCCTTATATGTACGTATGTAATATACTATGTATGTGCATATGCACGTGAGAATATATGTATACGCACGAGTATTTATGTATGTAACCTATATATATGTATGTATTGATGCATGTACATATAAATGTCGCCCTCTCTCGCCTTGGGAACGCAACTTGTGGGCCTCATGCGACGAAGAGTTTTGAGCACCTCATGTTACATACATCACCACACGAAGTGAGGAGCTTGCTCTCTGATGATAGATGGCAGTGTGAGAATACTCACAAGCGTGTGAGTGTTTTCGCACCTGCGTCCATACCGAGAAAATCATGTTTGTCTACCTGTCAGTTGACATGGGGCCCAGGTAATCCACAGCTTCCATCCTAGGAGCATTGTACATGAAGGCCGAGCTGCTGACGTGCACCTCACCCCTCACGACCAACCCCATCATTCCGGTCCAGGAACCGTTGCCCAATTTCACTCCGAAATTGTCGTCACGTGACTTGTAGTAATCCGTCCTGAAAAGGGACATCACCGGTCAGAGGCTTATTGCACTCTTAATGACATCCTTCGTCACTTTATTACATGAATGTGATTTAATAATAATAATAATAATGATAATAATAATAATAATCTATGGGTGCTACAGTCCGTGATGAACCTTGGCCTATATCTTAAAATTTCTTAATCTTACAGACACTTGGTAGGATTCCTGGGGCGAGGGATCAATCCAGCCCATACCACCCCATCCTATTTCTGTGAGCCACTTTAATGTTATCCATCCACCTACGTCCTGGTATTCCTAGTGATCCCTTTCCTTCTGGATTTAACACCAAAATTCTATATGTATTCCATTTCTCTCTAATTCGTACTACATGTCATGCCCATNGCATCCTCCTTGGCTTGATTATTGTAATTATTCTTGGCGAAGAGTACAAGTTATGAAGCTCCTCATTATGCAGTTTTCTCCAACCTCCTGTCACTTCATCCCTCTTCGGTCCAAATATTCTCAACACCCTATTCTCAAACGCCCTCAGATTATGTTCCTCCCTTAATGTCAGACACCAAGTTTCACACCCATACAGAACCACAGGCAAAACTGTAGTTTTATATATTCTAATTTTTATGTTTTAGACAACAGACGAGAAGACAAAAGGTTCTGCACTGAATGGTAGCAAGCGTTACCCGAGTTCAGTCTCCTCTTAATTTCCTCCTGAATCAGGTATTGATTTGTTATAGTCATTCCAAATATCTGAACTGTGCCACGCTTTCAAAGGATCAGTTAGCTATTTTTATGTCGTGATTTTGCCCTGCATTCCGGTGACGAGACAGTAACATATACTTAGTTTTCTCTGAGTCTATTTCTAGACCAAGCGCCTTACTAGCGTCAGTAGCCCTACAGGTTTTGTACTGATGATAACGATGATCATGACGACAGAAACCTGATAAAGTTTTGCATTCATCTCCGTAAGTACAAAGTTGGTTCACACTGGGCTATTCTGGACACACTATAATGCATTATCCCTTGATGTGGCGTTAACCAATTTCTCCTTTTTGGGCTCTGTTTTTGCCCAAACGCCGCAAAGAAATGTGAGCGTAAAGCGCGAGTCACGCCCACCCTATCTACTCCGCTGATCTTGAGTTCAGCGTTTTACTTTTGTTTCCAAACTCGAAGTAAGCTGCTTTCCTTCGGTGAAGAACTTCTTGAGACCACTCCACGGAGAGCGTGTGGGGGCTTTCGACAGAGACGTAACCCACTGACATACTTTGACGGATTCAAGATATTCTTTTGTTTGGATGGCATCAGCCGCTTTATGTCTGTGTAATATTACCGGAAGGCCGCGCCATAGCTCAAGCGGTTAGTCGCTGGCTCCCCACCGCGGCGGCCCGGGTTCGATCCCGGGGTCTGGTCAAGTGGGATTTGTGGTGGACTAAGTGGCGCTGGGGCAGGGTTTCTCCGAGTACTTCGGTTTCCCCTGCCAATCTTTATTCCACCAGTTACTCCACAATCACCCTCACCTATCATCTGGGGCTGGTACAATAGGCCAGAAGTGGTCGCAGTACAAGGGACTTAGTCCCACCCCACTAGCAATAAAATTATTACCGGTAGAAAGTCAATTTTTAATCTACTTTCCTTATTTTGATAAATAAAACTAGGCATATGCGATATCCATACTGTCTGTGGGCCCGTTAATCCCCCAGCTATTATCTTTTGAATGCCTGAACCAATCTCTATGAAGCTTGATATGTATATCACGGCACTTGAGTCCATCTCAAAGGCGTATTTGTTTGGCAACGGCTAGGTCAACACGTTCTCGCGGCAAAGATACTCGCAACGATAGAAGATATGTTGAACACGTGTATCTATTGCTCTGTGTTTTCTCTGTGTGTGTATTGTTTTCTTTGTTAGATAAGAGATTTAACATACCCACACAAAAGTTCCTTTTTGATATAATAGTGTTAATTATTTAAATATTATATAACTATTTGGAAAACCTGTAGAGAATAGATACTTCGGAGACCTAATAAATGGTGGGATAAATTAAAATTAACCTAGGAGGCAGAGGATGCATAGATGTAACGTGGATTCAATTGGATTATAATAGGATCTCTTTTGTAATGAATTTTCAGAATCTAGAGAAGCTGGGAGATTTCTTGATCATCTGAATGACCCTTGGCTTCTCAGTACGGCTCTGCGCCACGGAAGAAGTTACATAGAATGAAGTAAAGTGCATCCACTCTACTAACCAGGCTACGTCATGGCTTGTGTAGGCAACATTACGGAAGAAAAGTTCCGTGTAAGCGCTTTTGAATTTTCCACTGAGGTTACAGCACCGAAAATATGTTAAGCATACAATGTAGCAACAGAAGCCGAGATAGCTCAGTAGGTATAGCGACTGGTTACGGGCGGAACGACCGAGGGTTCGGAGTTCGAGTCCCGGTAGGGTCAAGAATTTTCACTACGATATATCGTCGATACCGACTATGGGGCCCACCCAACCTAATACCTAATGGGTACCGGGGGCTCTTGCCCGGTGGAAAAGCATCCGGGGCGTAAAGCTGACCACACCGCAACCAGTACCGAGGTCAAGAACACGTGGAACTATACATCCACTCATCCATACGCCGTCATGACATAGTGCTTCATTAGTTTAGCACAGGAACAACTTTACCTTATTTCTTACATTTATATAATGTAGCAGCTTTGTAATGATGATGCAATGGTCTGCGTCACTAGTTGACAATGACGCACTGTCGCTTCTGCAGCAGATCGAGTATAGCATGGGGAGGGTTCAGCAATTGGGCGGGGTGCTGGAAGAAGAGTGTGCGTGTCCCAGAAGGATATTTCAAAAGAGAAAGCATGTAGCAGATGCGAAGAACAAAGGCTGACAGTTTACGTGCTCGGATAAATCAGCTGACTGCGGGATGATTAAGCGACAAGAAAGAAATGAACAGAGAATGAAATGAAACAAAAATAACCCTTTGAAACACGGCAGTCACTCTATTTACCGCTCGTTTTAACAGAGTGCAGTTACCGCTTACGTAATGTGTCCAGGATAAGCAGCCCTGATTTTCCTAAACAGCATTAACCGATGGGAAACCTATGGACCTTCAAGGACTGTTATAAGGATATCTTTATCATTTTTATAGTAAGAGACATAAAAAGAAAGCAGTCTTCTGGGATTTGGCACCGTGTATATGTGGTGTTAACCGACGTTTCGGAGGAACGTATCGCCTCCATCTTCAGGGTAGAAGAAAAAATATATAAGAAATCTGCAAGCAAAGAGACCGTGAGAACCGGTAAAAGCAGACTGTCTGCTTTTACCGGTTCTCACGGTCTCTTTGCTTGCAGATTTCTTATATATTTTTTCTTCTACCCTGAAGATGGAGGCGATACGTTCCTCCGAAACGTCGGTTAACACCACATATACACGGTGCCAAATCCCAGAAGACTGCTTTCTTCATAGTCACCGCCGTGAAAGCCTCAAATCTTACAAGAGACATAAAGATTATATAAGTAGACGAAATGGCTGAATAGTGCTGACCGAAGATGATTATTATATGTTAGAAAAAAATATAACTGTTAAAAACTCACCGGAAATCAATCTGTTGTTCCAGCACCCTCCAGATGTCTCCATATTGACCTCCAACTTCCAAAGGCTTATTGTTCTTCTCTTTGATTATTACGCTCGATAGATGCTAAGAAACAAATAAGGGGATATTAGTTCATAAAAATGGACGCACAAATAAGACATAAGACCTTTTTTTTTAATTCGCTAGGGCGATGGAGTCCAACTGGGTCCACTCGGCACGGCGGCCACTGATTGGCTTATTGTAGCCTGCCCCGGGTGATTATGATGATGGAGAATTTGGTGGAATGAAGATTGGCAGGGGAAACCGAAATACTCGGAGAAAATCCGCCCCAGCGTCACTTTGTCCACCACAAATCCCACTTGACCAGACCCCGGGATCGAATCCGGGGCGCCGCGGTGAAGGGCCGGCGAGTATGCGCCTGAGCTATGGCACGGCCACTAAGGTTACGTAACTCAGCTGGTAAAGTTTTGATTCTTCTTCAAGGGTCCCCTTAACAGGGAAACATCCCGGCCATGTGTTACTGAACCTGCCACTAAAACTGCCGGCTGTCTGCTATCTTCCTCTGCTGTTCGTAACTACTTTCTAGGAAACGTTATCCTTTATATGCACACAAACATGTACACAAGGATGTTGTTTCTTCTGTTAGATCTTTATATTCTTCTTCTGTTTATCCTTCGATACGTATATAGGCCCTACTGAAAATATTCTTGTCTATATTTACGACAAGCCTTTGAAATGTGCCCAGAAACCTGACCTCAGCGACGCCTGTCTTGAGAACAAGCCCCTGCAACTTGTTTCTCCTTCCGTAGAGGTATTGTGAGGGCCAGGACACGGCCCGACCGTCAGCGCAGTTGCCCAGCCGGCGCGTCTGCAGGGGAAGTGAGGGACTGACGCGGTACACCTCCGTCAGGACGAACTCGTGGCTGCTCCCGGGTTGAGCCACTACCAACTCGCAATCAAAAGGAATGTCAATACCAGCGAAGAACTTCTCAAAACAAGAATCTCTCTCCAGGAAGAGTAGCCACTTCGCGTCTCGTAAGCGGGCTGATCCAGACAGCTAGACACGGGGCACAATTTCAGTTATTTTAATTAGTGGTTGTTGTTTGCATATAGGATTTTGGTGGGAAAACCAATAAATAAGAAACCACCAAGCAGACCTAGACATAGATGAAAGAATGCTATTAAAATGGATCTTAAATAGGATTGGGTTGTATGGGTTGATGTGGCTCAGGGTAAGGACAAACGAAGGGCTCTTGTAAGCACTGTAATGAAATTTTGGGTTCTATAAAATATTGGGAAATTCTTATGTAGCTGCACATTTGGCGGATTCTCAAGAAGGGCAAGTTCCATGAAATTAGTGACTTTTCCTTATTTTACACGTCGCTGCATTAAGCCTCTGAAATTCAGAGCGGGGTAGTTCTATCATTAGATTAAAATATTTTTCACCATCTCAAGGTTTAATGATTTTGACAAATGCATTTCGATCGAGGATTTTTTTTTTTTGCGTTGAATATAAAAAAGCAAGAAAATTCGTGAAATGTGTTTGTTTGAACACAGTTTTGGAGCTTGATTTTCGCTCCAGCTCAGAGCAAGACCAGAAACGATTTGAGATAAAATTTTAGTTACTGAATATTAATTTATTTCAAAATACAGTCGTCCTGTCTTTGACCATGAAAATTTACGGGTGCGAAACAAATCCTAAATTGAAATGCTGTAACTGAAACATGGTGAAAGCAAAAAGTGAAGTTATCCCTGTAAGTGGCCTTAGGTTGGTGAGACGTCGAGACTCCCACATTTTTCAGACAATCGATTCACATATGGCGGTGAGTTTGTTAGCCTCACGCGCCGACCGTCCTTTACCCCCAAGAAGACACCTGGTACTCACTTCTGCTAGAGGTGGAGTCGACCTCCAGGACCATAGTGCGGCTGGAAGGATTAGGTCAATTGAAAAATCCAGTGACCTCAACGGAAATGGAATCCGTGACCTTCCGACTTGTAGCATGGTGCCTCAACCAACTACGCTACCGGGTGCCCCACCAGAACTTATATTATATTTCTACCGTAAACATGCTTGGAGATTTCTGTGTAGAAGCCCTGAGGGGAAAATACTCCTCCACATCTTTTTACAATTGATACAGACTGAACATGTATGTTCTTGGGTGTGTTGACACAGAGACTAATTTTATATAATTTACCCGCAACAACACTTTTGACATGCTGCAAGAAATCTGGTAGGCCATGATGCTCCAAAATCTTCTGTTGACTTATATCCTTGTTATATTTTCAATGTAAAACGATGTATGTTATCATAAAGTACGAATTAAATTATTGATTTTATTGATTTCAGGGCAATATTGATAAAATATTCTGCTATTGATTGACTGACTGCTAAATTACTGCCGGTTCTCGCTAACACAATGATTCCTCTTTCGGAGTACCACGGGACTCACGACCATATTTTAATATATGACGACACAGGCAACATTCGAACAAGCACTTATTTTCCTCTTGGGTCTTTGGACCATGCCGATGTAGGCAGTGGCACGAACGTTTTACAGGTAAATATTTCCGTAGAATATAGTTCGAAACGTCGTAACACGGCCCAAATCTTCGTGGTACGAAGATTTAGAGAGCAGAATTAACAATATGAATGTAGTAGTTGAGATTCTCAGCGGTGGTTATGAAGAGTTCTATCTTGTAGGATATAACGCAATGTATTGCGTTGAAAAATCAACCGACATTTCGGAGAAAAATAGCACCTTCATCTTTAGTGTCGAAAGCTAGGACAAGCGAGAACCTAACTTGAAGTAATTAGCAAGTAGACATTTTGTCCCTGAATATGGAGGCGAATATTTCTCCGAAACATCAGTTACTTTCATGATTAGCAAGAAGAAAGTTGAACAGGTATAAATCACTTACAGGCTGGATGACCGGGTTTGATTTCCGACAGAAGTAGGAATGTTTATCTTCGCCCACGCGTCCAGGCCGGCTTAGAGAGGACCTCAGTTTCATATCGGAGTTGTACCCCAGGCCGTGAAAGGGTAAACATTGCCTCTACCGCGCCGTGTACCTTCACGGTAAAACGCATGCGCAGAACGTTACTTTACGCCGCTTTCAGTCGCTGCACTGTATAGACGCGAGGTAGGATCATAGGGGAACCATGAACTGGAAATTATTAAGCAGGACACGTCATGATCTAATCGAAGTCCATTTCAGTGGAGTCACTAGACAGTGTTCCGGCAGAGAATCGAACAGAACACCCCTCCGTATACAAATCAAGAGCATTACTGCTATTCCAACCCGCTCAATGAATAATTACCATATTTTTTTATACGCTTATTATTAATGGTGCAGAACTTCATTTCGTATCGTTATAACTTGTTGATAGCTCGCTCAGTGCAGCAACAGGTACACGCTGGACGGCCGGGGATCAATTCCCAGAAGGGGCAAGAGATTTCTCCACAGCGTCCAGACCAGCTCTGGGGCGCACCTGGTATCCTATCTAATGGGTACTGGGGCTGTTTCCCCAGGGGTAAGGCAGCAGGGACGTGAAGCTCACCACTCATATCAATCTAGTGAAAAGGTAAAAAATGGTGGAGCTATACCTCCACTCCATGATAAGCACGGGGATATCTTTACTTCTATGCCGTTATGATTTACATATAAGGTAATATTAAAAATATATCATAGAGAAATGGGCAGGGGATGTAGCACGCATGGGGAGAAGAAGGCTGTATACAGGGTTTCTGTGGGAAATCCAAAATGAAAGATTCTACTAGGAAGAACTTAGATGGGAAGTTGTGGGCTGGTTTCAACTGGCTCAGGATAGGGACAAGTAATGAACATTGTTGTGAAATTCTTGAGTAGCTGAGCGACTGGTAGCTCTCAACAATGCTCGACTGCATGGAGTTAGACAGTTACGACTTGTAAGTTTTTATATTCGTACGAACCTGGTACAAGATGCGTCTAGCAGAATATTCATCGTGTGGAAATATGTGGAGAGGAATACTTGCTTTACACCGCAGAGTGTCAGCATACACCGAAATGTCGTGTGATGATAACGTGGCTAATGTTGTATCACGTGAGAAGAATAGTTTCATTGCATCGAGGATCGTTGTTTGTCCTTGCCAGCCTGAATGGAATGACACATTGTTACCGAAACTTCTAAAATTCATGTATCGCATTTCAGTGATTCAGTATTGAGGGGGTGGGTTTCCACATGCACCGCGACTGATAGTCTATTGTACATCCCCCTTTTAATTTCTACTGTCTCCATCCCCTACCGATACTGGTGCTCGCTATCAGCCCCTTTCTGCCAGCAAGGTTTCTACCCCCTACTTGGCAGTGATATCTAATAGTTAGTCCCTTTCTGTCAGCGAGGTAGTCCCTCCTCTGGCAGTGGTACCTAATACTCCCCCATCTATCGGAGGCATTGGAAACTATTTGGGCGGGAAACGTTTGGCCTAATTTAGCTCAGAGGCCTCCTAGAGACATGAGGATGTTTCGTATTTACATCTGTCCAGAATTTCTTCTTCTTTTTTTTCAGCCTACTTTCTTTATTTTGTAAAAAATTAATAAAAGTAGGCTTATGCTATCTCCATCCTGTCTGTGTGTTTGCGAGTCCCCACATCAACTTTTGTATGCCTGGCCTAATCTTTATGAAACTTGGTATGTCAATCTCAATACCGTACTTCATAAATACCTCCCATCTGTCTGAGAGTCTGTATGTGTACTCACTTATTTCGTTGCTAGTCAACGGTGTAATATAGTAAATATGTTCCCGCAACAACAAAGAATTTTTTTCGTCGTTTTCTATGCGGTCTGTGCAGTATCAAGGGAAAGTAGGCGATTAGTTGTTCTCAGGACTTCTTGTTAGTGTATATCAACAATTATATACTACTATTTTCCTGCTGCCGCCATTACTACTACTCTACTACTACTACTACTCTACTACTACTACTACCATCACTACTACGGCTACTATTACTGTTACGACCACCACTACTGGTGCTTTTTCTGCTACGAGCACCATTATTATTATCATTATTATTATTAGAGGGTGTGGGTTAGACCAGTTATTGGTCCATTGTGCGTCCCCCTTTAATTTATACTGTCGCCATATCCTACCGGTACTGGTGCGTGCTATCAGCCCCGTTCAGCCAACGAGGTCGGCCGTCGGTACTTGATATTTCCCCCATCTACCAGAGGCATTGGAAACTACTTGGGCGGGAAATTGTTGCCTAATTTTGCTCAGAGGTCTCCTAGAGACATGAGGACTACTAATATATCTATGCTATACACAACAATGTCTACCCGTTTCATTGTCGTGCAGTAGGTAAAGGCACGCAGAGCGGAAATATTGTTTTACTGCTGCTGCTAAGGCAACGGTGTCATCTACGGAGAAAGCTGTGGATGACGCTATCAGAACATGCAGCACCAACAGTTTCATATCGATACGTTCCAGAAACATCTGATTATCTTCTGTGGCATGCAGTTCGTGTTGCATAGTTGTGTTTCTCTGTGAAGTGAAAATGTAGGCCAGAGCTGATGTACTGCAAGGAAAAAAATATTAATTATAATCATAAATTTGTATTCACGACGTAATGTATGGAGCTAAACCCCATTTGGAATGTATATGGCGTGCATATAAACAAAACATGGGAGACAGAGGTTAGGCTTTGCCTTTTAGTTAGCTTACTCACCGTGGCTCTATTCTTTGCGCGGCATACACAACGCAACAGCAGCAGGTTATCACAGGGGTCAGGGCACATAGTGAATTCCGCGTTTTATGTCCTGCTACTTGCGTCTGGTTTGTTTATGTATAGTCCTTACAATTCAGAATGAATAATACCAATGAACTAACTCCATGGGACAGAATAATTCTTGAAAAGCTAATAGTCGCTCAGCTAGTCAAAAAATACCATAATTTTATGATACCGGAAGATTAATTGTCCTAAAAAAGGTAATTTTGGACATTGCCTGTGGTCTCAATTTTTTCAAACCATAACGTTTCGCAGAATGGATATATTTCCTTCATCAGGTGTAGAAGTGGAAAGTTTCCTACGCTTTGGGTCCTTTAAGAATATTGTCTGAGCTATATTATTAGACTTGACGTATTAATTTTGGGAACATATTATACAGGTTATGTGACATGACGCTGGAAAGCCGGAATAGCGAAGCCAGAATAGATGTTCCTTGCTCATTGTTCACAGTCTCTCATGAAGTCCATCCATCGTTAGAGCCAGGCTACTTCATACTCTGTGTAGGCGCTTATGGCTGAAAAGCCCTGTTAAGCATGTATTAATTTTTTCTACCTGCGTGTGAATGAAGGAAGTACTAGAGAGAGTCAGTAAATTGGTCATAAATGGATAAAATGCAAAAATCTTGTGATATTCGACCCTGAAAAATTATTTCCCTACATATCCTCCACCAATACTGATAAAATTTTCCCGTCGCTTTACCAGTGCGTCGAAACCCGCAGCATAGAAATCTTTTGACTGTTGTCTCAGCCACTTCCGCACGTGCTCGGGCATCATCCTGCGATTTTCGAACGTACTTGAGAGAATTTCTCGATCCAATTGTGAATCGCTTTACGTGACAAACACTTCCCACCGTAAACAGGAAACATTTATTTATGAAACCTTTACATTAAGTCCTTTTGCCCACAAGAAAACGCACAACATAACGCTGCTCTTCGGTAGTTCCGTCCTCAGGCAAGATCGCCGTTTTGACTACTGAAACCAGACTCTGAACATGCGCATGCGCGTTTGCTACCTAGACTGTCACGAAGCTGAACTGTGCTGCTACCTAGTGATACAAGTAGAAAACCTATTATGTCTATTACAGCTGTTTTACTTCTGTTTGTGAGCTGTTGTGTGTCTTTTCTCAGTGTTTTTACTTATATTTTCTCTTCAGTTTGCAGTTTTGTTTTTCTTCTTTGTTCCTTGTGCCCTATTTCTCTCCCACTACTTATATCGTGTCACTAATAGACTTCATTACGTCTCGTTTGGAACTGTTTCCCCGCGCTGTCGGAAACTTCTCTCTTCTCCTATCGCGTTCCCCTCGTTTTGCGAAGGGGTGAGTCAGAGGGGAGGAAAGTGCACACAGATGCCTGAATTCCTGAAGCGCATTTCCTTACCCTTTAAATCTCTCTCTATATATATTCGATCCCAACTGGAAGTCGGAATTTTCCAAGTCAGATTCACTCCTCTTGTACAGTGACAGGCCAGCAAAAGCTAAGGACATGTGGTGTGTTTTCTAACTCATCGCTTCGAATTCTGTGGGTCAGTGGTGCAATATCAAATACCCATTACGATACGGTTTTCGATTCGTGTATTCCTTCTTAGGTTACTTAAATATTGTGGCATGTAGACCCGTTGCTAGGCAACGATCACGAAATAAACACCTATATAATAGCCGTCGTTAAGTAATGCCTCTGTAAGCAACGGCCGTTTATATTTAATGGCCACAACAAACACTCAACAATGGAATAGCTAATAATATAAATTCCTTCGTCAATGTAACTGTAATTTATTAATTTAAGCTCCACTATATGTTTCGACCCTTATACTGTCATCCTCAGTTGTCGTGCAGCCACCTGCTCACGCTGGTACTTCCCTCTCGGATTTATATACCCTGAAGTTGGAGGTGATAGTTCCTTCCGAAACGTCGGTTTACACAATATCTACACGGCGCCACATCCCAGAAGACGGCATTCTTCACAAGTCAATAACTTTAGTGCTTGAGCCAGTTTCATCCGTATGCACTGTACAGACGGTGGAACTTGTGAAAATTACCATTTGCGGCTCTCATGTTCAGTAAGTCAGACTACTTGTGGTGTGGGACGTCTGACATTGTCACAGCACTCTTAAAACTATAAGCATGGGAGCCGGGATAGCTCAGCCGCTATGATGGATTGTGGTTTGAACGCCTGGGGTTCAATTCCCAGCAGGGATAAGATATATTTCTCATTTCCACAGCGTCCAGACCGGTTCTGAGGTCCAAATGGTACCTGGGGCTTTTTCCTGGGGTAAAGTAGGCGGGGCGTGAATCTAACCACGCACCTCCATCTAGTTTCGAGATCAAAAATTGTGGAGCTATACCTCCACTCTCACGTTAATTTATTAAGCGTGGTCCTTAATTAAGGACAGGGACATCTTTACTAACTCTACTTTATCTATGTATCTATCTATCTATTTATCTATCTGTATGTATGTCTGTCTGTCTATCTATCTACCTGTCCGTCTGTCTACAGCCCACTGTTGGATCTTGGAAGTTATTCACATTCGGTAGGACGACGGATGAACCCGTCGCAAGGCCGCTACCTACACAGGACAACACATCCATGCCTTAAGTGGGATTCGAACCCACGATCCCAGTGTTCTAGCCGGCGAAGACACTTCACGCCTCAGACCGCTCGGCCACTGTGATCGGCTTGCCTTAAATATAGGGATGTTAAAGCGAATTTCAGATACTCACAGCGGTGACTGAAGAATACAAACTTCCGGGGTGTGAGACCGTGCAGTCTGGAAGATATTTACCGGCGTTACTATACTTGCTGTTTGTATATATGCTTTTCCTCAGTATATCACTGTGAGATATCAGTAACGACCCGTCTTATGCAGCATTCTATCAAAATAAAATATGTATAACTCTTACATACATATGTAATGATAGATAATGTATTCAGGTTGAGAATGTTCGGTTCTGTGTTATGTATCTCTTAATTACGAGGGCCATTAGTTTCGTAGGAGCGGCTGATGGTTGATAGAAGTCGTTTAGAACGGTAGTGGGAAGCGAGGCCTCGCCACAAACTCCTCTCCACTTCGAACTGATATTAATGCCAAGCCTGTTTATACGGAGACATGAAAATGGGAAAGTTATGATGATCTTTCATAAAAATATTTATCCGAATGAAAGTGAACCAAGCCGATGCATGTAAATTTGTGATTTAACGATGTTGTGAGTGAGAGGATGATTAATGAATATGGAGCTGTTGGTGCTCTGAGGATTTGCGAGAGAAACCGAAATACCAAAGGAAAGCCTCCCATAATATTAACTTTATCCGCCACAAATCCAACATGACATGATCTTGGGTCGA